TTTTTTTTTTTTTTTTTTTTTCTGTGAGGAGAAAGCAGTGCAGCTAGAATGTTTGTCTTTATTTACAGAGAAAGTCACAGTTGTAGTTTGTTGGGGTTTGTTTTGTTTTTCTGAGTGAGGGGTCCTGCTGTGTATTCCAGGCTGGCCTGGAATTTGCAGTGATCCTCCTGCCTCAGCCTCCTGAAGGCTGAGATTATAGGCATGTGTCACCACATCCAGCTCATTTATGGTTTGAAGTTTGCTTTTATCCTGTCCTTAGAATTGGGTGAGCAACCTGGGCGAGGTCATGCCCTGTGGTCCTTTGGTCCTTTGGCTGGGTTTAAGAGCACTCAGGTGCTGTGAAGGTCTGAGTGAGGAAGGTGGGATCAAAGTATTGGAGATCAGTTGAGAGGAGAGTTTGGGGCTTCCAAACTCATGAGGGGTAAAACCCTGTAGTCCCTGAGAACACACAGGCAAGGATATTTTGTGGATGCTCTTAGCCCGCTAAGCACCTGCTGAAGCTAAAAGGCAGAAGGGCTTTTCTCTCCTCTTGCACACCTTCCCCAGCCTTTCCCAGGGGGAGCAGCATTGTGGCTTCCTGCTGGTAGATTCCTTCCCCATGACCCCTTTATAGGTTTGACGTCAAAAGGCCTTCGATCCCTGGCCCTGCTTTGATAGCAGATGTCTTAAGGCACAGTCAAGCATGTCACACACAGAGCACGTGAAGTCGTGGACAGACAGCTTCCTACTTGTTGCTGTGGAGAAGTCCTAGACAGGCCACAGCCTCTCCTCGAGAGTCAGTCCTTCCTTTCCCCTGGCCGATGTGGTCCTTCATTAGCCCCAACCCGAGGAGCCCAAGGAGCTTAGGCTCAGGCTGTTCTTAATGCAGCAGCTCGTGGAGCTCCTGGAAGAGGCACAGCCCTTTCTGCTGCTGCTGGCTCTGTTATGACTGAAGATGAGTGGTGAGAGGCCCTGTCCCTATCGAGTCACTGGGTTAATAGCAAAATGTCTAAGAATTTTCAAAATGAACTTGTGAAAACTTTAGTAAAACACTAACCCCTGAAAATAATGTATACGTAAACTTTATAACGTTTTTGAAATTTTTCTTCCCTGACTCCTTGCTGCAGAGCTGAGTGGCATCAGATTTTCTCTGCCTGTACCGCAGACCCCTGAGTTTCTTGTGTGGGATCATAACGTGCGTGTTGCTTTGCAACTCGCTTCTTCTCTCACTGTGTCATAGATGCCCTTCCATGTTAAATATCAAATGTCACCACTTTTTGTTTGTTTGTTTGTTTTTGAGACAGGGTCTCACTATGTAGTTGAGACTGCCCTGGAACTCACTGTGTAATCCAGGCTGGTCTTGAACAAACATTGATCCTCCTGCCTCAGCCTCCCGAGTGCTGGGATTGTACAGGCGAGCACCACTACGCCCGGCTTGTCACCACATTTTAGAACAGTGGCCCAGTGTTCCCTAGATAGTCCTACGTAAGGTATTTGCCCAAGGCTCTGACTGGTGGACATTAGGTTGCTGCTGTCTGTCGTGACCACAGACAGCCCCAGGAAAACTTGCACACCCCACTCACCTGCGGAGTCCTGCCAGCATCGGCCTGCTTGCTGGAAGAAGGGTTGAGGGCTTCTGCCTTCCAGAAGGGTAGTATGAACGTGCCTGCCCACGAGAGCAAGGCCTCCCCGTGTACAAGGGGGCGCAGCAGGGAGGAGGTAGCGTGAGGTTGTAGAAATCTGTTGAATCACAGTATTCCTCAGTGCGATTCCCAACTAATTTCCATTTGCCACCAACCAGGCCACGGATGGGGAAGTCTCAGCCATGGAGCAGGTGCCGGTAAATGCATGCCCCCCTGGATTCAGGCCCTGGGTACACCTTCTTTTGTTTTCCTCCTTCTTGTGTTTCTATGTTTACTCAGCCTTCATTTCAGAAAAGCTACCACTTGCTTCTGGGGACTGCTTAGGCCCTCTGGGTGACCTGGTCATTGGTGTGTCCCCACTGATTAGCCCTTCACGATGAGCCCGCCTTTTCTGTAAGACCCGCCTTCGCATCACGGTCACGCCCCACGAATCGCCAGCCGCCGTGTGTCCATGCTCATTGCCGTTTGTCTCCGTGGTTACTGCGCCAGGTGGACAGCTGTGTGCAGGCCAGCTGCCGACTCGGCTGCCATTTGCACATTTGTTTTCTGTTCAGGGACAAGGCCACCTGCTGCTTCTCTCTGCCACTTAAAACGCACCTTCTTTTCCAGGCCACAAGCAACTAAACCTTTGCAGGTGGAGCCTCTTGGGACTCAGACATTGCTGTCTCTCACTTTTCCACTTTCCCGTGGGTACTGCTGGGAATTTTACAGGCGAGACGGCCAAGCGATTTCTAGTAATTGGTCATTGGGGCTTTTTTCCCTTCAGGCTCTGCTGAGGGCCCGAGGCCAGTTAGACAAAACCAGTACCTCGTAGGAGGTCATGTCTCCAAATCTCAGCCTCTCTGGCTTGCAGAATTCCCAGCAGCTCTGCTCCTGTGGCTTCACCAGTCCATACTGTTGTCCACTTCACTCAGTGACTGCCGCTTCCTGTTTTTAGGTGACCGAAGAGGCCTATGTCCCAGTGGGTGACATGAATGGGCTGGGCTTTAAGCCTTTCGATTTGGTCATTCCGTTTGCGGTCAGGAAAGGAGAAATCACAGGTAAGCCCTTTTTGAAGAGCCTCACTCCCGCTCCCTTGCACCAGCACGTTGGTGGGCCCTGGGGAGGTATTCGTACTCCTCACCCAGTGCTCCTGGTTTGGGCTCTAGAAGCCTCTGAGATTGTAGAATGTGTTTCTTTGATGAGGTCGTTCGTTTGTACTTGTATTTCATTCTCAAGAGAGCCTGTGATTTATTCAAGGTTAAGAACTGCTTTGTTTAGGTGGCTCTCCACTGTTGTGTTCCTTTTGCCCTTTTTTTCCTGCCTTCTCTATTTTTCCACTTTTCCAAATATAGTCTGAACTTGACACTGAGGTCTGTTGTACAAGAGTTCCTTTGTCTTTTCAGCCCGTTCAGTGCCTCCTCTTTTTGACTGAATGCACTGCCTATCCTGCTGGGGTTGTGGTCTCAGACCTGTTTGAGCCTCTACTTTGCCAGTTGCAGAAACCCTTCACCTGCCTTCTGCATTTTGTGGAAGCCCGAGGGAACCGAAAGCAAATAGGTCTCCACTTCCCAAACACTGTGGGACTCCGATGATTTAGGCAGCGTGAGCGCCCTCGGGTCCGAGGACACCTGTGTGTTGTGCTCAGCCTCTTGGGGACAGTGGGGGGGCTCACGCTCACGTCTCTGTGCTCCACAGGAGAGGTCCACATGCCGTCCGGGAAGACGGCCACACCCGAGATCGTGGACAACAAGGACGGCACGGTCACTGTCAGATATGCACCCACCGAGGTGGGGCTGCACGAGATGCACATCAAGTACATGGGCAGCCACATCCCTGGTAAGTGGGTCTCAGCAGCAGCTCAGCAGGCAAGGCCAGCAGGACCTCACAGGCAGGGGCGGCCTGGCTGTTGGGAGTCTGGCAGTGGTCTGGGCAGCCGCTGTGCAGGGGACACTCGCGGGGCAGGCTCGGGCACGTGGCATTGGCAGCCGCGGGAGACCAGACAGCTGGGGACTCCAGCACGTCAGCCAGTTTCCCAAAGATCGAAGATCGTGCAGCTCCATGTCCTGGGTCACAGTAGAAAGTTGCAAGGCGTGGTGAGGGACTTTCCAGCCTGGCCTGGGGAACCCTGTGTGCTGCAGGCCTTGGGGCAGGGTCAGAGCGGGAGTAGAGGCAGGGAGAAGAGGAGGCCTGGCCTATGACAAGGAAAACAGGCTCAGGTTTCGAGGCCATCAGCCGGCACATGGGTGTGACACTGGTTGGACATACTACTGTTTGTTGTTCTTGTTGTTTTGTTATCGTTTAAATATTTTCTATTTAATATTTCGAGTAGGTAACATGTGGTTTAAAAACAAAATTGATATTGAGAAAGATTGCCTTTCCACTTGTGTCCTATAACTCTTCTCTCCTTGAACCCGACTATTGGTTATTTTTCACTTTCAATTTGAGAGTAAGCATAGCTTGTTGCAGCTGACATCTCCTCCTTACCAAGATGTACCTTTGGGGTTTGGTTCCCCCAGCAGGGGTGCAAGGGAAGCACAGGTGCAGGCAGCCGCAGTTCCAATAGTTTGTGCCCAGTGTCCACCCTGGGGCTGCTCCGTCCACACCCACCAGTGACAGGGGCAGCAGCCTCTTCACAGCCGACGATGTTTGGGTTGTTGCCAGCTGAACTGTGGACAAAAACAGCCCTTGGTGTTGCTTTATTTGCATTTCTCTTGTGAATGAGATTGAGCAACTTTCCACGTGTTCAAGTGCCATTCATATTTCTATTTCTGTGAACGGAACGCTCCTATCTGTGGTCAGTTTTTCTGTTTGTTTTTCGGCTTTTGTTATATCAGTTTCTAAGAACAATGTAAATGTTAAGAGACATCAGCCCCCTGTGTGTGAAAGGATTGCACATATTTCTGAGTTGGACATTTGCTTTTCTTTATGTTGGTATGTGTGCATAGTATTATTTTAAAACAAAAATGTATGCTCTGCTTATGTTTAAATATGCCGAAGATGCTGATATAGAGAGTGAAAAATGCCTTTCTTCCATTGCCCTTGCACTTCCAGGGCTGGCGTGGATCAGCGTATTTCACATATTTCTCTGTGCATCCACAGACATGCGTGTGGTTGAGTTCTATTCTGTTTTTAAAGGAATGACATAATGGCGTAAATATTATGTAGCAACTTGCCTTTTCTCTTTTCACTGGAACACATGGATGGTGCCTCGTGTTGGCACACACAGAACTCCCTCGTTCTCTTTGGTGGCCTATGAGCAGACCAGCCCCCCTATTGTTGGACATTGGGGTCTTCCGCTAGGCCTGCGACCCCCCCGGGAATGAAAGTGCTTGCATATGGCTGGGGGAAGGGTGGACAGGGAAGGCCTCTGCGGGACCAGTCCTAAGAGGTGAACTCCTTAGACCACAAGGCCTTACATTTGAAACGGTGCAGGCTAAACAGCCTTGTGAAAAAAAAACATCTCTCTCCAGTTACCTTCCCTCTACTGGTGGATCCTTCATCTGCATGGCGCAGATGTCTCTTCCTTAGTTGTCAAGTTGAGCTGGGTTCTTCCTGCTTTAGGCCCCCAGTCCAGTCTGGAGCAGCCTCAGGGACTGCTTTTCTCACATGATGATTCAAGGAATCATGTGTAGAGCTGCTCAGTGTTCTAGGCTGGGGAAGTGGGAGGCTCATCAGTTTCTCCTTTCATCACCTGCTTCTGCTCAGGAGGCGCCACACCACCCGCTAATAGGTCAGTGCTAAGATACCCATCACCCAAGGATTCTTTCACGCCTTAATGAGCCCCAATTTTGTCTGTGTCTTTGACCAATCCAGAGAGCCCTCTCCAGTTCTACGTGAACTACCCCAACAGTGGAAGCGTTTCTGCATATGGTCCAGGCCTGGTGTACGGAGTGGCCAACAAAACCGCTACCTTCACCATTGTCACTGAGGATGCAGGAGAAGGTACTGTGTAGTTTACATAGTCATGCACTGCTGGCTTTCTATTTAGAGAGATAAGTGTGCACGGTTCCAGGGCAGCTTTTAAAAATGAAATTATCACAGAAGTGTCATGGTACACACCTGCAGTCCTGCCAGTTGGGAAGCTGAGGAGGGAGGATCCCTTGAGCCCAGAGTCTGAGACATCTTGGGCAACATAGTGAGTGAGGCCCATTTCAGAAAAAGGAGGAGGAGGAGGAGGAAGAAAGAGAAGTTATTTGGTGGTAGTATTTGCTTATTTTTCCTCATATAAATCTCTCTTCTATAGAGTTGCTTTCTCCTACTCAAAACAGAAGTTTTTCAAATCTTGTATTCTGACAAATCAGGTCTGTGCTATGAAAAATTTTATGTAACTCACCTGGAATTTTAAGAGTGTTTTGGTTGAGGATGTTTTACTTTTGTTCTTTTTTTTCACACGTGTCCACAGACTTCCCACGAATCACTTAGTGGCTCACTCTTTTTTTTTTTGGTACCAGGGATGGAACTCATGTCCTTGGCACTTGGGAGCCACTGAGCTAAATTCTCAGCTAGTGGTTCATTCTTGTTAAAGCGCTGTGCCCAAGTCCACGTTGCTCAACGAGAGCCCTAAACCTGGGGTGCTAATGGGATTTCTGTGATGGTGTCCGGCCTGACTGGTGGAGACAGCCTGTGTCTGGCCCTGTCCTTCGGTGTGATTACCCTGTAGGGCTCCATCTCACCCTTGTTTTGTACCTCCTGAAGAGTTAGGGCTTCTTGAGGGAGCCATTCAGGTGGTGAGGTGTCTTCCCAAGGGACCTCTTGCCTTGTAGCCCTCTTTGTCCTGTACAGACCCCTTGTTGAGACTCATGTGGACTGTGTTCTCTCATCCCTAGCACAGCGCTGCCCTCATGACTGGATCTTAACCCTTACCTCCCTAACTACTCTCCCTCGCTGCCCTCTCAGGGGGCCTCGACTTGGCCATCGAGGGACCCTCAAAGGCGGAAATCAGCTGCATTGACAACAAAGACGGGACGTGCACTGTGACCTACCTGCCCACCTTGCCAGGCGACTACAGCATTCTGGTCAAGTACAATGACAAGCACATCCCTGGCAGCCCCTTCACAGCCAAAATCACAGGTAGGGTTGCCTGGCTGGCTGGCAGCTTCCTCAGGAGGGGCAGAGCTGCCTGACAGTCACTCCTTGCCTCAGACCACGGGTGGCAGGCTGTGTGTCAGTTTTAGTTCAGATTCCTACAGGAACTCTGAGGGTACAAGTCCACCTCCCTTTCACGATAACCCAGGGGAAGACAAGAGTGACTGTGTAGAAGGTATTTATTTTGTGACAGTGTCACTTCAGCTTGCAAAGGGCTAGCACTCATAGGCATTCAGTTAGTTCTTCCTGCATGAGTAGCCAGGAGTCTGTCTGCATCGCTGCCACACAGGGTTTCTGCTGTTCATTTTACAGAGAGGATGAGTGTGGTGAGGGATGTAGCAGCTTAGCCAAGTTCACAAACGGGTGTTCCGGGATGCAGAGTCGGGTATCCCATTCCGGGCTCATGCTCCTAACCTCTGTGCTGACTGCTGGATTTGGATCCTGCTCTCAGTGGGTTATAAGGGAGAGGCACAAGGCGAGTACTTGTTCCGGGGTACTCAGAAGACCTGTCTGAAGCAGCCAGCAACACCAAGGACCGTGCCTGGTGCTTCCCTGAGAAATGCCCATGGCATGGTGGGAGGTGCTTCTTTTCCCAAAGATTCCTTAAGAAGCAGTCCATGACATTCCACATCTCAGTCCTGCCACCTCCTAGTTTTCCTTGAGCCAAGCATGAGTTCCAGTCGCCTTTAGTGGTCAGTTCTGCCCACTGACAGAGCCATGTTTTGTCACTCACCTGTGGGTGAGGGGTTCATGCCCGTTCATCTGTAAATGGCATGTGGAGTGAGCTCAGGGAAGCCGGGCTGACCATGGTAACAGAACCACGTTGGGGGCGGTTTTCCAGATGACAGCAGGCGGTGCTCCCAGGTGAAGTTGGGCTCTGCCGCTGACTTCCTGCTGGACATCAGTGAGACTGACCTCAGCACCCTGACGGCCAGCATCAAGGCCCCGTCCGGCCGTGACGAGCCCTGTCTCTTGAAGAGGCTGCCCAACAACCACGTCGGTGAGCTCAGCTGCCATCTGCTGGGGGCCTGGACATCGTGGGCGGGAGATGGGCTCCTGAGGTCCTTCCCTGAGAAAGCAGAGGCTCGCTGGGGCGTGTGTTGTCATGAACCCACTGTACCTCACTCATGATAGAAGTCCAGGTACGTTTCTACATTTGGACACTGACAGCCGTGGTCACTGGCTTGTGAGGAAGTCAGGAGGTCAGTTTGAGAGTGTGCCATTCCCCCGGCCCTCCAGCCTCTCTTACATCTCCCTCCCTCTCCACTTACAAAGCCCAGTCTGTGTTTCTGGCCAGGCATCTCCTTCATCCCCCGGGAGGTGGGCGAACACCTTGTCAGCATCAAGAAGAATGGCAACCACGTGGCCAACAGCCCGGTGTCCATCATGGTGGTCCAGTCCGAGATTGGGGACGCGCGCCGGGCCAAAGTCTATGGCCGAGGCCTATCGGAAGGCCGGACTTTCGAGATGTCTGACTTCATCGTGGACACAAGGGATGCAGGTCTGTGGGGTGTTCTGGGGGAAATGCCCAGAGTGAAGGAGCTGGCATCTCTGCTCAGACTGCTTGTTTTTCATCCCACCAGCTCCCTCTTCTCTGTGAAGAGAAGGGTGGGTCCGTCCTTCTACCTGCACTATTTTTTCAACCTGTGCCTGGAGAGTGTTGGTATTCGTTTTGTAGGTGGAGAAAGTGAGGCTTTCAGGGATTGTAGCCCCATCTGCTCTTGGAACTTGAACTCAGAATTCTGGACAAAGCCCCAACTCCAGGGCAGGTGGCTGTTGGTTCTGATGTTGTTAAACCTTTAGATGTGTTGGCCTAGTTGTGGCAACTGGGAGCTGTTTAAAAATTCAAATTCCTAGCGTTGGGGCTGGGAGTAAACCTTGAAGCAGTTCGCGCTGTTCTTGGAGGCTGCGGATGCGCAGCACGTGTGCTCCATGGGATGTCAGTAGATATCTTCGAGGAAAGAGTTCTTTTGGTCAAAGACATGTTCACGGGGAAAAGAACTTCTCAGAGCCTTTAAACACCTGTGCCGAGACTCCCCACACAGGCTGCCGGGGGAGGACTGCATTTCAGGGAGCGCATATCCACTCTGCACCGTCAAGCCCCTCCTTCCCGGGAGTTGCTGTCCCATCAGCCCCAGCTGCTGTGTTGCAGGTTACGGTGGCATATCCTTGGCAGTGGAGGGCCCCAGTAAGGTGGACATCCAGACGGAGGACCTGGAGGACGGCACCTGCAAGGTGTCCTACTTCCCCACCGTGCCCGGGGTTTACATCGTCTCCACCAAATTTGCTGACGAGCATGTGCCTGGTATGTGCTCTCTCTGCCTCCCTCTCCGAACCTCAGGTTTTCTGTAAGTGCTGTAACCCGGCCTCTGGGCTGCTTACAGGCACCTCCTTGGTCTTGCAGGGAGTCCATTCACTGTGAAGATCAGCGGTGAAGGAAGAGTCAAGGAGAGCATTACTCGGACCAGCCGGGCCCCGTCCGTGGCAACTGTAGGGAGCATCTGTGACCTGAACCTAAAAATTCCAGGTGAGCACAGCGAGCTGAGGGGCATAGGGCAGGGGCAGCTTGGGGACTTCAGTCCAGCCATGATGCGGAACATGCTTATCCACATCGGCCCTGGTGACCTTTTCATGATTTTCTTTTATGCTTATTTTCAGAGGCCCATTTAAGGAAAATAAATCCATTTACCTGAAATATTTTCTTCTTCCAAATAAAAATTGCTTTGTTGTATAGCATAGGGAAAGAATAGCTATGTTTTTAGATTTACTGTTGCATGTCGGTGAGAGGCCTGGCCCCACTGGTACCAGTATCTGGGAGCGTTAAGAGGTGGCAGCCTGCCGGGATTTCCACTCACCTCTTTCATACCTCAAAGTAGGTCAAGGACTGTGCTGCCAGACTAGGTAGGCCACACTGAGCCCTTTGACAGCAAACGGTTCCTGAGCGGGAATCGGGCCACACAGTCTGAATGAAATGTGGCCTGGTTCTTTCTCTGGAGAATCTTCTATGTCGCCGAGAGTTTTGCGCCTCCTCTGCCCACAAGCTGGCCTGTGCTGTGGGGTTGCACAAACTGTGCGGAGAAAGATGGTAAACCTCCTCCAGCGAAGCTCAAGTGGTCTCCCAGGGAGGGGGCAGCCTTTCTGCGGTGCTCCTCCTGTCTTTGCTGGTGTGTTGTGCACCTGTCTGATTGCCTTCTCAGCTTTCACAGCTGTAGTTGGTCGGCAGTTCTCAACCTGTAGGCGTAACGTATGTGAGTGGGTCGTTGGGACAAGATCACCCCCTACCACCTGTACTGGGGATTGAACTCAGGACCTTGCCCTTGCAAGGCAGGCACAGCTCCACTGAGCTTCTCTGGTCCTGAGACAAGATGCCTTGGAAGGAACTGTATTGGTTGTGAGCACTAAAAGTCCCTATGCTCAGACTGGAGGGAAGAGGGAAGGGACTGCTGGTAATGCATTTCAGAGGCAGCCGTGCCCTGGCTCACTGCCCTCCAAAACATACTGTGTTCCTTCCTCCACGTTGCCCACAGTGCTGGGCACTCACTGCCTTTCATTTCCGCTTTGGCCAGTCTGATGGAGAAGACATGGTGTCCAGTTTTCATTTCTCACATTACTAGTGACAGTCTGTTTTCATTTGCTCTGCATTTCTCCTTTTGCAAGCTCCCTGTTCTGTTCTCTTTGCTTATTTGTTTCTTGCAGAATTAGCAAGTGTCTTTGTGCCATGGGGATATTCGTCCTTTGTCTCTTGCTGTTCTTTTCTCTTACTTGGTAGCTGAAGACTCTGGAGGAGCTGCTTCCCCCTCGTTACCCACATGATCTTTCTCCCCTGTTTGAAGGTGGGAGTTGCTCATCAGCCTCCAGGTGTCTGTGGGACTCAGGCGCTGTGGGTGTCTTGTCGGTTGGGACAGCCCTAACAGAATAACAGAAGCTGAGAGGCAGTGGCAGGCCAAGTCAGGGCCTGACAGGGTGAGCTGTTACTGAACCTCTTCCAGGGTGTAGATGGCCAGCTTCTCTGGGGACCCTCACATGGTGGGGAGCAGAGAGGGACAAGCTCTTTCGGGACTCTGCTGAGAGCAGAATCCTATCCCTGGGGCTCCACTTTGATTCCATTGCCTGATCCTGATCGCTTCCCAAAGGCCCCACCCTGAGGGGGTGATGTCACACTGAGGGGCCAATGGCCAACGTGAGTTTCAGAGGGGCACATCTGGTCTGTAACACCTCCCTTCCTTTCTCTGTCCTCAGGGCTCAGAGTCTGAACTGCTCAACCCAGATGCTGTAGGGCTGAGGGTGCGGTTTCTTACGGGCTCTAGGTGATGGCAGTGCCCAGTGGCCCACCTGCTGCCCGCCTCGCTCCTCCGCGTCAGTGTGGGCACTGGTCTGCACCTGGTACTGGTGACCCGAGGCATTGCTTTCCTGAAAGTGTGGCCTCCGGTTTGTTGAAAAGCTTTTTGTTCATGCATGGATTCTCCACTGCTTTTGGGAGTGACACATGTCCACCCGTCTCTAGATACTCCTTGTTTTGTTACCTAAAAGAAATGCCAAAGCTTCTTGACGATACGGGATGAGGTTCTAGTGTTTTCTGCTCTTTACCTACTTATGGGAAGAGCACATCTCTCAGCATGACCGCCACATCACCTTTGTCCTGGGAGCACCTCAGCTGCTGTAGCTTTTATTTACATGCTGTCACTGCCACGGTTTCAGGATGTGATGGGGAATTAACTTGGCTCCAGCCAGGCAGCTGTGAAAGTTCTCAGTGGGGCAAGAAGTGTCAGTGCCCCCAGAAGGCTGTCTGCTCTGGGTGGCCTCCAGGCCCTTGCTCCTCCATGCTGGCCATGGGAGGCTTAGACCTCCTGCTCGAAAGGCGGGGAGCCTGAGCACCCCTGTCTACCCCACTGCACCTGCACCCTCTGCTGCTTGTCCTGCACGTCCCACCCTGCCTCGGCCCATACCCTCACTTTCACCCTCTCTTTCTCCCAACCTCCCACTGCCTTTCAGAAATCAACAGCAGTGACATGTCAGCCCATGTCACCAGCCCCTCGGGCCGTGTGACCGAGGCAGAGATCGTGGCCATGGGGAAGAACTCGCACTGTGTCCGGTTTGTGCCCCAGGAGATGGGCGTTCACACGGTCAGCGTCAAGTACCGCGGGCAGCATGTAACTGGCAGCCCCTTCCAGTTCACTGTGGGGCCACTCGGCGAAGGGGGCGCCCACAAAGTCCGGGCAGGAGGCCCTGGTCTAGAGAGAGGAGAAGCCGGAGTCCCGGGTGAGTGTTCCAGGCGGGCTGTCCCTGGAGCAGAGAGGCGGAGCCCGCAGTGTGGGCTCCTGCATCCTCGCTCCGTGGAGAAGACCTCTTCTGGGTGGTGGTGAGACTCTCTTCTTTCCTCAGGCTTTTGTGGCTTGGAGGGCTTGGATCATTCCTGTACCCAAATCTAAACAGGCTTGTGGGCTTCTCAGGGGCTGCAACTTAGAGTGCATCAGCATCTCTAAGAGGGGAACTGACTGTTCCCTGAGTGTCCTAGGTCAGAGCTGGTGTTCCACACAGCACCCTGCAGTGCTGCAGAATCGACTGCAAGGGATCTTCCTGTGCTGGCTGCTTGGGAAAATCTGTGGGGAAAACTTGAATATTCTCAACCTTTCCTGGCTTGGGCTGGGTGTATTCAAAAGATGCAAAATTTCCGGTGAACTTAGCAATCATGGGCGGGTGCTTAGGAAACAGCAGCAATGGCTTGGTTACTAACTGGGTGTTTCTTTGCTCTCAGCTGAGTTCAGCATCTGGACCCGGGAAGCGGGCGCTGGGGGCCTCTCCATTGCTGTTGAGGGCCCCAGTAAAGCCGAGATTACATTCGATGACCATAAAAATGGGTCATGCGGTGTGTCTTATATTGCACAAGAGCCTGGTATGTACTCAAGGATCGATTGAGGATACTGTCCTTGCTCAGAGATGGTTAGGTTGCCAAGAACAGAAACCATCAAACCTAGCTGAAGTCACACAGCGTGGCCTCAGCGGGGTGGGAATCTGGTTCCTGTTTAGCTCCTTTCTCTGTTGGCCTCTCAGCTTCTTGCTTTCTTTTAACTGCTTCATTGACTGACCAGTGTGTTCTGCCCACCCCTGCACCTGCGCTCCCTGGATGGAGCAGAGGTTCTTCATCTTTTCGTGTCAGGAACCCTTTTGGCATCTGGTAAATCTTATAGGGACCATTCTGAAGGTGATGTTTTGAAGTACACAAAATAGATCAGATTGTAGAGGAAATCAATTCTGTTAACATGCAGTTGGTAAAATTAAAATATATTTACCTGTAGTTATCAAATATGCATCATAGCTATGGATGCATGTCTTCATTAATTTATCAAGTCATAGCTGGGCATGGGGCGCACGCCTATAATCCCAGCACTTGGGAGGCTGAGGCAGGAGGATTGCCATGAGACCAGCCTGGGCTACACAGTGAGTTCCAGGGCAGTCTCAACTACATAGGGAGACCCTGTCTCAAAAAAAAAAAACAAAAAACATAAGATATCATCGTGAAGGGGTATTAATGACCTGAATTTCAAAGTAGAACTGGGTATAAGTGGTTCTGTCAAGACATCTGTAAAATTTAAAATGCTATAAAAATAACCCATGATTTTTTTTTTTTTTTTAAATTGGCGATAAAAGTCACAGGTCTTCCCCCTGTGCTGGGATTTCTTGTGAACTTTTCTAAAAAGAAATGCTAAATTTCCGTTAGAGGTTAGAGAAGATAAAGTTGCGGTGTTTCTCTTTTTCCCTACTGAAGTCCACAGGTCTCCTGGATTCTGTTCCTAAGCCCTTTGGGGACTCTGCAGACCCAGGTTAGGGGTCACTGGCTGTGACCAGCTAAGCAGGCCGTACTGGCTCTTCCAGCCAGGTACTGGGGGCCGTTGAGGCAGGCTGCGCTCTCTCAGAGGACGTTTTAGCCCTAGCTAGGAAACAAGGCCGCTCTGGAGGGAGTTTCCAGGATCTCTGAAGTGTTGGGGCTTCTTTCCCAACAGGGAACTACGAGGTGTCCATCAAGTTCGACGACGAGCACATCCCCGAGAGCCCCTACCTGGTGCCCATCATCGCGCCCTCCGACGACGCCCGCCGCCTCACTGTTATGAGCCTTCAGGTGAGACGCAAGGAAGCATCCATCCTTTGCCCACAGTCCAACCAGTGGGACCCCTGGACTCCCGAGGCCACTTCAGTCCCCCTGTGGTGCCGAGGCCCTGGCACATTTTGTCACGCGTGTTGCCAGTCGTGGACAAGCTTCCCGGTGGCAAGGGCAGACACTCCCACCTCCCGCGAAAGAGCAGATCTGGTCAGCAGCACCCCTTACTTGTTTAGGCAGAGATCTGCTTTTAAATATTTATTTACGAGAAACAAAGAAAGCCTGTTAATAATTGGTTAATGGATTAGGAGGGCTTGCAAAACAAAACTGCATGATACAAACAGCCCACTGATGTTTAGCCAGCTGTTTGTTGTGAGTTTCTTTTTTGCTCAAGATAGTCAATTTTGTCAGGATGATTTACTGGGAACAAGGCTAAGAGCTTTATCAGTGTTAGCTCAGTCAATCCTTGCAACAGCTCGGCGAGTAGTTTCTCTTGACCCCATTTTAAAGATGGTACAGGAAGCTTAAAGGAGCCTGGATACAGCTGGTATGAGCAGCAAAGTAAGGGCCCATGGCTGCAGATGTCTCCCTGCCACACTGCAGTCTGTGTGCAGTGCAGTCTATCAGGAGCTGCAGCAATTTCCCATCACTCACGGGTGACTTAACTGGGGTTTGCCTTAGCACCTTCGGCCAAAGCCGCTGGGGATGCTTCTGCGTCTTTTGCTCAGAACACTGAAAAATGATGCAGTGTCTGTACCCATAGTATCAGTGAAGTTGTAAAATAACACCAGAATATCAAAATATGATTTCTAGGGGTTCCTGCATAGCCTTTAGCTGGCCCCAGTTCTTGAAAATCCAAGAAACCCGATTGGTGATGTCATTGCATTTAGTTCCATAAACTTGGTTTGCCCCTGAGATTCTAAACTTAACCCTGGGAGAATTGGGGGTACTACTAGTTATTCCAAATGTTAGTCCTTCGGGTAGGGACCTAGTTCAGAACTCAAATCAGCGTCCCAGTCCGCACATTGAAGAGGCCTTGTCTGGAGAGTCCCAAGGGTGCCACTGGGTCACTGTGGTGTAGATGCTTTTCTTGTGTTTCATTTAAAGGCTTCTTAACAGAAATCCCTTTTGTGGCTGACTTAACTAAAACCTATGGAGGGAGATAAACCCAGCATTTGTCAAAGGCAAAGAGCTGCCTTCACGCATCTCGAAGATTCCTTTCAGATCTTCCGAGGTGTTTATCTCCCTCTTGAGGATTTAGCAGCGCGCAGATTCAGGTAAAGTAAATTATTGTATCCAAAGGGAGCTGGTTGGAAGCAAGCTTCTCCAGAAAACGTTTCTGTGGAGCCCACACATCATACTCTGGTTATAAATATTTCATAAGGTGCGCAGCAGGCTACAGGTCAAGCTTTTGAATCAGCTGCTGCAAGAGGGACCTGTGTGTCTGCATCGTCCCTGCTCTCCCTGGCTCATTTGGTGCTAGGGACATGTGCATTATTTATCAGAGCCTTTGTGCAGGCAGCACAGCAGCATCTGGTGCCGGTTAGGCCAGAGAGGCATGGGCTGTTTTGTCTCGTCTCGCTTTTGAGACTGGAATGAAAATTGGTGCTGGCTGACACTTTGTTGGGGAGGGACTGGGATGCGGGTGATCTAGTGATCAGAGAGACCTAATTTTGTGTCACATCCTCCCTCCCCAGACGATAACCACTAGGCAGCACAGTCCAGTGGGAAATGCTGCAGCAGTGGGATGTCCCATGCTGTCACTGGGCAGTACAGAAGTCACTGGCCTCCTGGGCTTACTGTGCACGTAACTTGTGGCCGGAGTAACCGAGTAGCTGAACTTTTAATTTAATTTTCAGTACACACACGCACATGCACCTGAGGGACGCAGCGTTCCGGCTTTGCTAACATGTGGTCCTGGGACCAGCACCCTTGGTTGGCGTTACCTGGAAATTTACTAGAAACATAAAGTCCTAGACCCCTGGGTCAGAATCTGCATTTGTACAAGACCCCCCAGATGGTTTGCTTGCACATGAAGTGTGAGGCGCGCTGCTCTCACGTCACCGAGGACTGAGCCTTCCAACCACGTCCAGTCCCACACTGTTGACCTGAAAAGTTGCTGCTGTTCCCAAGTATTTATTTATTTATTTATTTATTTATTTATTTATTTATTTATTTATTTATTTATTTGGGGGTTTTTGGTTTTGTTTTTTGTTTTCTGAGACAGGGTCTCACTATGTAGTTGAGACTGACCTGGAACTCACCATGTAGCTCAGGCTGGTCTCAAACTCACAGTGATCCTCCTGCCTCAGCCTCCTGTGTGCTGGGATTACAGGCATGCGCCACCACGCCCGGCTGTTTCCAAGCTTCGAAATTCTTAACCCATTCCTCCAAGAAGATGTAGTTCCTAAGACGAAGCCTAGGGAACCACAGTGACCCAAGGAAGAGCAAAAGCTATACATCCTCTCCCTGTTGCTCTCTGGGGAGACAGGCAACTTCTGAAAGCATTTGTGTGTTTTTTTTGGTATCACGGATCGAACTCAGGACCTTGTACTTGCCAGGCAGGCACCACTGAGCTACATCCCCAGCCCTGAAAGCATAGTAATAGCTTAACAGTAAGCTGACATTTCGGAGACTTTCTGTGTTTGGGCTGAGGATTTTACATGCAGAACTTTGACCCTCACAGCAGCTCTCTGGGATAGATTCAGGAACTGTCAATTTTACAGATGAGGAAACAGACTGAAAGAGGTATAGCATTGTAGGGATACTGCTAGGAAATGGTAGTAAACCAAGGTCTGGCTGACTCTTAGCCACTGTGTAGTATTGCCTACCCTGCACATGTGTAGCTTTTCAGTTTTTTAAAGTTCTCTCCGTTTGCACAAGCATTTTGGGATGCAGACAATCATTAACGTAACCGTGTTTATGTTAGCGAGCGGTGGTGTTGTCTGCAGCCAGCCTTCTCCTAAAAGGGGGTCCTTATCTTTTGGCGGAAAAGATACTGAGCTTTATGGCATGTGCAGTGCTTGTCTGGCACGCTCAGACTACACTCCTGTTGCCTGTGATATCTCCACCTCCAGGAACTGTTCTTCCAGCCTGAATCAAGATGATTTGGGGACAAGACCATGCAGATGGATGTCTCTATTTTCTTGTATTTTATGCTAGAAATGTGGGACGTGATCTGGCAGTTCTCTTGTCAGATGTTACGTGGAAAAATATTCTAGGCCTGTTGGCATGATAACCATCACCTGCGTATGGATCAGGTCCACGTGTGCCATTGAGCAGGAATGTAAGGGCCATAACCTGTCAAATATATTGAATTCTCAGGAATCGGGATTAAAAGTTAACCAGCCAGCATCATTTGCTATAAGGTTGAACGGTGCAAAAGGCAAGATTGATGCAAAGGTGCACAGCCCCTCGGGAGCCGTGGAGGAGTGCCACGTGTCTGAGCTGGAGCCAGGTAAGCAGGGGCTCAGGGTGGGGTCCCCACCCCAGCACTTCCGACAGAGCGCTCTGCCGACCTGCACCCTGGAGGCCTTTGTGGTCTCTGTTGTCGCCAGGCATCGCTTGGGAATTAGGATATAAACTTCTACCACAGACTCAGAACTTTTCACTTTGCCATACGGTGCATCCTCTCTTTTTCTTTTTTTTAAAACAAGTTCTGCTTCACTTTTGTTAGTTTTTCAGATTCCTTTCACATGATATTCATCACGACTGTTCTGTCACATTTTAACAAAGTTGTACAGATTTTTATTACATTGTTGACACGATGAGAGTAAGTGCACTGTGGCCTCACTTTACTCTGAGGAGGGAGAGGCAGATTGGTGCCTTTTAAAAACAAACTCTATCTCTAGGGCTTGAGCTCTTAAGATTTTCTGTCCTGCTGCTTTGGTGTATAGAGTTTTAGGAGCACCAGTCGACTCTAAAGAGATCATTTTGCCTGTTAACCATAAGTGTCAGAGACTTGGCAGGAAGCCGAGGCTGAGAAGCACATGTTCCTGTCCTTGGAGAGCTGCTCAGAGCCCGTGAGACTGAGCCCAAAGCCTGCAGCACCCTGGCTATGACCCCCAGGAGAACTGGAGAGCAGAGGTGAAGATGGCAGAGGGGAGAGAGAAGCTGTGCCTGCCTCGGCCGCCTCAGGAGAGCTTCTCAGAGGAGGCGTCGTGTGGTGTAGGACTTGATGCACTGTTTGGGCATTTGCTGGGACCTGGGTTCATGCGTCTTTCTTTCTTCTGCTGGGCAGAAGGGCAGTGGAGAGCCTCAGAAGGAATAAAATGGGGGACTGGGATGGAGCTCAGCAGAAGGGTCCTGAGTTCAATCCCCAGGACCAAAAAATAAATAAAAGATAAAAAAGGAGGACCAAATAGGGGAGGGGTGGTGGCAGTCCCTGGTGATCTTGGTTACAGTGTGGCTACATCATCAAGTGTTAGGAAATCTGAAAGGCAGTGCGGAGCTGCTATCCCGGAGCGGCCCGTTTGAGAAAGCAGGATGAATCCACGTACTGGAAATGGAAAGGGGGAACTTGAAGCCAGGGAACCATAGCCCTTGGTGACCTGTTGGCCCAGGACAGAGAGAGGGTGGGGCGGAGGAGAATTGAGACCCGCAGCTGGGTGAATGAATAGGGAGATGATAATGCAGTTAGCAGAATGAGGTCTTCCAGGTAGAGGGAGAGCCAGGCATGGCCAGGGCGCGAAAGAGTTTACTATTTCTTCGGGGCTTTGGAAGTATCGCGGATACCCAAGTGGTGATGTTTATTGGCTCCCTGTGGTGTGGGAGTTTGTTGTTCATAGCCCCAGCCGCTGTTTGAAGCCCTAGGGGTGTCTAAGACCATCAGCTTACCAGTTAGGCTGCTGTTACTTGCAAATTATAAACCCCCAACTCATGCAGCTCAAACAGTAAAGGGGCCCAGTAAGTCACATAACATGAAAGTGCAGGATCTAAGGTGGGTTTCGATACTTGTGGATTCGGCCATTCATGTGCAGTCTCCAAGGCCTTTTCTTTTTCTTCTGTTTCTCGGGCCCCATTCTGAAACTGGCCTACTTCTTGGTGGCAAGATGACTGCAGTAGCAGCAGATCCTTCATCTTCGCATCATACCCATCAAAGGACATTCCCTTTACGGGGCGCTTTCCCAGAAGTCTGAGCGGTACCTTTTCTAGAAGTATCCATCTCAGTGAACTGGGACATACGCCAGTTCCTGAGTCATTTCTTGCGGTTAAAGCAATGCTATGTTTTAATTGATTTAGGCTTGGGTAAAGAAGAATTTTCCCCATCCAGGCAAAATCTGCTGCTCTGAAGCACAGTGGCTTAAGAGAGGAGGTTGGGTACCCGTGCCCGGCGGGGGGACTGCAGGGAAGGTGGACCCCGTGCACTCGTGGACATTAACCTCTGGGGAGGGCTTGGCTGGAGCCTGGGTTGACAAACTCTGAAGATGAAAAGTACAGGGAGCCAGGCAGGGACTGAGATTGGAGCGGAGGAAGCTGGTGCCCTGTATCCGGGCTACGGTGGCCACGTGGTACACTGTGGCTAGGTGGCTTAGGTACCTATTTCTGCTAACAAATTTCCCCAGGGAACCCAAACACATAGTGCAAAAACCTGCGGGACATTTAGTAGCTCTGAGCTTAATTAAGGAGGATTAATTGCCTGTTGGAACCACTCCTTTCCCCTTCAAGTGGCCAAGTAGAAACACTGATCTGAAGGAAGTGTTCTGAGGCAGGAGCTGGAGGATGGAGCAGAATTTGAGACTTGGTGCATTTCCAGGAGGCTGAGCAGGGTCACACAAGTTGCCCCACATGGTTTGAAATCCCCTTGTCGGGCGCCAGGCTCCTGGTGGAACTGGGTCTTTGAATGATAAGGTTGGCCTGCCGCCCGCTGTCCTCACCAGGCTCCTGCATGTCCACTGCCCCACCTCACCCTGCGCCCTCGCTTGTTCTAGATAAGTATGCCGTGCGCTTCATCCCCCACGAGAATGGCATCCACACCATCGACGTCAAGTTCAACGGGAGCCACGTGGTCGGAAGTCCCTTCAAAGTGCGCGTCGGGGAGCCCGGACAAGCGGGGAATCCTGCCCTGGTGTCTGCCTATGGCTCAGGGCTCGAGGGCGGCACCACAGGTAACAGGTCCCTGTGCTACCTGTCATCCACTTAGCCAGCTGCCGGGCAAAGCCAAGGGAAACCTTCAAGCCTTCTGCAGCTCTCTGCAGGGAAACTGGAGTAGCGCAGGCTTGGATGCTCTGCTGTTCACAGCTGTCTGGGGAGATGTGGTTTGACCCTCGATAAATCCAGAGCGAGGGTGCGGTGGCCGTGTTATCACACCTCATCGCTCTTTGCGGCCCATATGCCTCCCTCTGCCAAGTTCCCGACACCACTGACAACGCTGCCGGCTTGGCACACAGCCCAGTTCGGAGCTTTCTCCCTGCACCGGCTTCACTCTGCATCTCGGGGCCTGCTGGGAACTTTCCCCTGCGCGTTCCTTTAACGCTTCCCGGGCTTCCAGAGATGCGTTGAAGCCGCATGAGACCCGTCACAGCCCTTCTCCTTTAGTGCTGTGATTGGACAGAAGAGAAGAAACACTGGAAATGGTCCGTGAGTGCTAAAGCTTTCTGGACCCATGACAACTGCTTTTCAATCTTGCCCCCGCGGGGACACATCTGACTGAAAACACAGGCAGTGAGGAAGTAGATGAGGTGAAACTCACCCCACTGCCTTGCTCCTGCCTCTCCCCGTCAGCCCAGGAGTAAGCACTGCCTGCAGGTCAGGGCGGCCTGCGTTCTAGACAGCTGAGTCGTTAGCCGGCTACAGCTCTAACGCGGTGGGCCGCAGTTTTGCATTTGTTTTGCAGAAGCAGTGTCACTGTACAAATGAGCAGCTCGCTTTTTATCACTTGGCTTCTTCCTTTTTGGTTTAGAGAATCAACCCAGGGCTTCTCACAGGCTAAGCAAGCTCTGTACCGCTGACCTTACACCCTCAGCCCTTTTTTCATTTTCTTTTGACATAGGGTCTCCCTAAGTTGCCTGTGCTGGCCTTAAACTTGCAATCATCCCATTTCAGCCTCCTGAGTAGCTGGGAGTAAGGAGTGCAGCCCCAGGTCCTGCTCTTCACCTGTCTTAAATATGTGTCAAAACATACATCTCCATCCCTTTTGTTTGTTTGTTTGTTTGAGACAGGTTCTCATTACGTAGTTGAGACTGACCTGGAACTCACTATGTAGCCCAGGCTGGTCTCGAACTCCCAGCGATCCTCCTGCCTCAGCCTCCCAAGTGCTGGGATTACAGGCGTGTACCATCACTCCCTGCTTTCCATCCCCTCTTAATAGCTGCTTCTTAATGGCATTCCTACCGTAAATTGAAAGCTGTCTGCATGGTCAGCTGGAGAGGGGCCTTGGCTGCGCGTCTCGTGTGTTACTGTTATGCTGGAGGCTGGGCCGGGGGCTGACAAGGACAGGCGACATTTTGCGCTGCTGTACCTGGCTGAGGACTTCTACATTTCTCTCTCCTGTTTTCTCTCAGACACACATCTTAGTTCCAGGTTGCCTGGGCAAATCCCAGTTGTGCTGGTACAGCTGTGTGACTGTGGCTGAGTTACTTGACCTCTCTGTGCTTCCACTGCAATCAATGTAATGAGGGAATAATAAGGGAGCCCAGCGGAGGGGCGCATTCCAATTAAAGCCGGCGAAGGCCGGGCCGTGTTTGTCCTGCCTTTCCTAATTTCCCTCTTTCCCCTCACCCTTCCTGCCTTGTTTGGCTCGCACAGTCCAGGTGAACTGAGTTTTCTGAGGAAGAAGCAGCTTGTTACAGAGGGTGAGGTGAGGCTTTTTTCTATTGCTGCAGGTCCTGTTGGCTCCATGTCAAAATGTCTGTCCTTGTTGCTCACCCTGGCCTCCCACCTCAGCAGCACAGACAAGGTTGAGAAGCCATGACAAGGTTGAGACAGTGGTGAGGCTGTGGGACAGGAACCTCAGGAGCTTCCAGGAACAGCTGGGTTGTGTTTGGGGGTCACACAGTAGCCGCTCCTTTCTTTTACTGATGACCAGAACAATACTTCTTTCTCTGGTCCAGGAGCTATAATTAAACCTCACTGTTTCCTAGCCAGGGCTCTGGCAGTAACACAGCCCTGCGTGGTGGTGTTGTGCAAAGGGCACCCGTATGGGCACTGTAGGGGCACAGCTGCTCCTGGCACCCAGGCAGCCCTCTGCCCACCTCCTTGCCCTGCCTGGAAGGGGGCTCAGGTGAGGGTGCCCTGTGGCCATCAGTTGACACTCGCTGCTAGAAGCCTCCTTCTTCACCAGGAAGGTGTCTGCAGGGTGCTTGGGGTAGCCAGGGCTGGGCTCCTGCAGAATCAGGTGCCACTGAGGCACCTCAGGCAGCTCCACTGCCACCCAGTGGCCTGGGCAGAGCCATGCAGACCTGGTCCTGATGCAGCTCCGGTTTTCTGGTGATGTGTTGTGGCTGGCAACTAGCCCAACTTCCTCTGCCCGAGGGCCCTTTGTGAATCAGGAGCCCCTGTGGAAGGATCCCACGCACGTGCGAGCACAGTGGTGCTTCGTCCAGGATCTGCTGTTTCGTTCCCATTTGTTGCTGGTATTCATGGCTAAGTAGGTGGGCCAGCAGGTCACAGGGGCTGCCCTAGTCCTTAGCGTGGTGTCTGGGGTGAGGAGCCTGAGGAGGAAGGGTGGGCACTGTGGGCCTCTGGCTTCTCCACATCCAAAGTCAGAGGAGCCTGTGCCGCCCCCTCTGCCCTGGAGCAGAGCCCAGCCCTGGCGGCCCACGCAGGCTCACGTTAACTCAGGTCCTTGACCTCAGCCAAGGCTCGTGGCCAGCGGAGATAAACAGGCTATGCAGGCAGTTGGTGCTACCGGGTGAAACACTAGCCAGGCTCCTGGCTTGGCCTGGGAAGGGGAGCTCCTGCTCCCAGGGCCTGAGGTCCCCTGTGTGAGGAGCTGAGGGCTAGGACTGTAGGTTTCCTGCTGCCGTGGTTGGTGCACCTTCTGTGAGGGATGTGTGTGCCTTGGCACTGCTTCATTTCCCTGGGAAAACTCACCGGACCTGGTCCCTCCAGACCCTGCACACGCATTTCCTCTTCCTCTCTCGCAGGCATCCAGTCTGAGTTCTTCATCAACACCACCCGGGCAGGCCCGGGGACCTTATCCGTCACCATTGAAGGCCCGTCCAAGGTTAAGATGGATTGCCAGGAAACCCCAGAAGGGTACAAAGTCATGTACACACCCATGGCTCCTGGAAACTACTTGATTGGTGTCAAATATGGTGGTCCCAACCACATCGTGGGCAGTCCCTTCAAGGCCAAGGTGACAGGTAATGATCAGATGCTTGGGAGTTGTTCTCCCCCTTGTGGAGCTGGTCTTGTCAGATGAACAATCGGAGTATTTCACATATGGTGAATCTACTTTGAATCTTGACTGGAAAAAAAAACAATGTGACATGTCAAAGGCTGTTGTGTGTGAAACATGGAAAAATAAATCCGAAGAGTGAGGGAGTGTGGGAGTTGAGAAAGCAAATTAGATGGTTTTCTGCTCTAAAGTTTACGTATTTGGAATCTTGTGCATTGGTTTAATCAGGGCCCCAAAACCCTCTCATTTCTAACCTTCACATTTGAAGTAATCAAGAACTTGTATTAAATATACAAAAATGTGGCTCAAATATATAAAAATGCACTACTTTCAAAACATTGGAAAGAACGTCAAACAATAAAAACAACTTCACAGCCCAACACCCAAAGTGCCTCGTAAATGTAGCGGTAAATCCCTCCCCACATACCATCCTTTACTGTCATAGAAGCAGTGTAGATTCATTGCTAAGTAATTAGAAAGCTGAGACAGCCAGGATGTGGCTCCGTGGTTCTGCCACCTGTCTCATAAGCACAAGGGCCGGAGTTCGATCCTGGTATGGGAAAAAAAAAAAAAAGAAATCTAAGATAGAAAAATCATCTTCTGTTATGTGAAACACTAAGATAGAGCAATCTTCTGCAGTGCAGACTCATTTTGGTATGATATGTTCTCCCCAACTGTGCAAATGGAAAGATGTGAAAGGTGGGCTCATGTTTATGCGGAAGGGATTTCTCGGCCTTGTCAGCCAAGGCCATAATGGCCCCTTTTCCCAGAAAGCTAGATCACAGTTGCATGGGTGGGACCCCATAGGATTTAGAAGACATTACAGGTATGAGTTGCAGATGTAGTGGCTTTTGCATTGAGGTGTTGGGGTGTGGGGCTTCCTTGGGGCTCTAGCATAGGGCACCTTCTGTTTTCTGGCTGAGACAGCCTGGATTCAGCTCTTCAGCCCTCTCTCCTCTTTTCCTGCATCCTAGGCCAGCGCCTGGTCATCCCAGGCTCAGCCAATGAGACCTCATCCATCCTGGTAGAGTCGGTGACCAGGTCTTCGACAGAGACCTGCTATAGTGCCATCCCCAAGTCATCCTCGGACGCCAGCAAGGTGACCTCCAAAGGGGCAGGCCTCTCGAAGGCCTTTGTGGGCCAGAAGAGCTCCTTCCTGGTGGACTGCAGCAAAGCCGGTAGGCAGCGTGGGCCTGAATGGGCAGGGAGGGGCCGGGCCAAGCGTCTCGTGTACTTTGGTCCCCTGTGCTGAGGCTTTCTGTAGTGTGTCCACCCCACCCCCGTGTGACCCAGCCATTTGCAAGTAACCGTGTTTCTTGCCCTGTTCCCCTGTAGTTGGTAATTTTTGAATGGTTTTCTTCTTTTGCCTCTTGATTCTTTGCCATGACCTAAAGGTGGATAGGAAAGATAGGTGTTTGAATTACAGATGGGCAAACTGAGTCAGTTCCCCGTCCCCTTCTCTGCCTCAAGTTGTCACGGTGGGACTTGAACTTGGAGTATTTATCTACTTGGGTGTCAGTAGTCAGTTGCCTAGGGTCTGGCATCAGCACACACCTAGGCAGAAACCCAGCCCTACCCCTTAATTTGTTCATTCATTCTTTCCGGAAACTTGTTAGCCAGTGACCTTGAGGAAGTCAGTCTCCCTCTACAGGTCAGTTTCCTCTTTTCTCAAATGGGAAGCCCAGTGAGACCTTTCTTAGGCAGATCATACTGTCTTCCCAGGTTGGCAGGTAGAGTTCCATATCCAAGGTCACTGTGGTAGGAGGTGGCAGGGTGGGGATTCGAACCCACACCGGCAAGAGTCTCCAGTTACAGTCAGCGTGCTCTCCTACCTGTCGAGGAGCTCCAGGGTCACAGGCCGTGCTCCGTCTCTGTCCCTTCAGCTCCCACGTGCCTCCTCTGCCTCACCTGCCCGCACGCACCCAGAGTACCCTCTTCTGTCCCTAGGTTCCAACATGCTGTTGATCGGGGTCCATGGGCCCACCACCCCCTGCGAAGAGGTCTCCATGAAGCACGTGGGCAGTCAGCAGTACAACGTCACATATGTCGTCAAGGAGAGGGGCGATTACGTTCTTGCTGTGAAGTGGGGAGAGGAGCACATCCCTGGCAGCCCCTTCCACGTCACGGTGCCCTAAATCCGTTTACATCCAACCCCAGGAGTTCTTGCGATCGCTTTTGTTGCTTGTTTGTAATTCGTTTTCTACAGTGTCCCCCAGCGTGTCATTGGGTCCACAGCCCATCTGAAGACACTGACATTCTGAAGTGCCTTCACTTCAAGTCATAGACCTGCCCCTTGAGGGACACATTGGGAAATCCAAAGAAGCAAACTCACCCAGTGGGCTAAGAAGATCCAGAGGACTCTGTCCAGATCGGAACTCGTGGTGGCACCAGTCACCGCAGACAGACGAAGAACACGGCAAGACTGGTGTTTCCTAAAAATGAATCCGGCCAGGCCAAGCTCCTGGTTCGCTCTGGAGCATTTATGAAACAAGACCGGGGCCCAGGGGATCACGAGAAAGAGGAGATCTCGTTTAGGATGTCTTTTGACAAACAAGATGGCTTAAAAGTAGCTTGGTCTGTTCCCAGGCCCACCGTATTCTGTAAGCAGAAGCTGTTAGGCGGCTGCCACCGCTTTGATGCTGCTCCTTCCAGTGCCCATGCCCTGGCCTTCTCGCGTTTCTCCCAGGGCGCAACCTAAACTGGCAGCAGCTGACTTCCTAGCACATCTCCCCTTCTTCTGGTGATTATTTCCTTGCCAGGTCGCAGAGTTTGACCGCCTTGGCAGCCATGTATCTGTTTTAGTTTCCCAAGCCCATTGCAGTCTCTTGGTTGTGGAAAATTTACACAACTACGCAGTGCCCCATGTGCTGCAGATCCCTCCCAAACACTAGGCCTTGTTTCTAACGTGCGCCTGCGGTTTGCCAGCCTGCAAGTCTTACCAAAATCTGCAAGTGACCTCAGATAGGTCCGTGCACTAGTGCTGTCACATGGAGGCCTAACACAGCTACTCCAGCAGCCCCGTGGGTCACTCTTTCTGGAAAACAGCCTGGGGTGCTTTAGAAAACAAAGGGTGGGTGCGGTTCCCAAATCTGGGTGAAAGCATTTCATGCTTCCTGCACACCTCAACTGGCTTTGGGAGCGATTTAATACAATCGAGGGGTGGGCAGACTTTTGGTCTGCTGCCTGGTCCTGAGGAAGTGGCCCTGTGGTCGGGGTGTCTGACGGGTGAGGTGAGTGCCCGGCACCAGGGTGTAGCAAGCAGCCAGGGCAGGTGTGGGTGGTGAAGGCCACCTGTTGGGAGCTGGAGCGGCCTAGTTAATGTGAAGGGACCACAGGCACTGTAAACGGGGACGTGGAGGCCAAACAACTGGAATCAAATGCCGACTGTAAATTGTGTCTTATAACTTATTAAATAAAATGTTTGCTTCGTAGTTCCCCTGGCATTCTTGGGTGTCGTCTGTTCTGACCAGCTCTCCCTACCTCTGGCTGAAAAGTCCCGACAAGCAACTTGCTATGGCAGTGAGTCTGACCCATCTTTTCTGGGGAGGTCTGTCTGCTCCTCAAGAGCTGTGCGAGGCGAGGGGACTTATGGGTATGTGGGCTGTGACACCTTAGGGAGTCCTAGCTATGAAGCCCACCCTGGTGAAGGCTGTGGGGTTTTTTGTTTTAATTTTTTTTTTAATGCTGGGGATTGAACCCAGGGCCTGAAGCTTGCCAGGCAAGCACCCTGCTACTAATCCACACCCCCGACCCCCGAGGCCTTGGCTTTTGAGAGAGAGCCTTTTCCTGATGGCACCAAGAAGCCCTAGTTTTCAGGAGTGTTCTCTAACAGGAAAGTACCCTGTGTCAGCCCACTGCCTTAGGCAAGGTTAGTGTTTGCTGTCACCCTCTGCCCCTCCCGCTCCATTTCCCTTTCTGACCGGAAGAGCTTCTGATTGCCTCGCCCTCCTCACCTTCCTTTGCAGCGTTCCGCACCACTGTACTGTGGGCAAAACTAAAACCCCCAAGGGCAGAGGGCCAGTAGCCATTGATTCTCTGCTTCGTTGAAACCGGGTTTGTTTGAGAAGGCTGCATCTGTAAGTTAATACATGGACTTTGGCACTGGTATCGCAGGGTTTAACAAGGCTCGCGGCCATGGGGAAGTTCCTCACCTCTCTGACTGGTAGGCCTCTCCTGAGTGGTGCTGAGGATTCCATGAATTCCGTTCCCTGTCTGAACGCCCTCTGCTGTCTGTGGCCAGCACCTGCAGGAGGTCGCGCCTGAGCTGCCTGTTAGCCAGGAGCCTGTCTGTACCCGGTGGCCCCTGTGGGCCCCGAGGGTGGGGGTGGGGGTTACCCTGGAGCACATTTCCTCCCCAACCCACTGCTGACTGTTAATGGGGAAGTCATCCAGGCGGAGAGCTGCATCCCTCTGCTGGTCATGGCTGGGACCACAGGGCAGCCCTGGGCAGCAAGCACAGTGCTTGGCTGCTGTGGAAACTGCTGTTGGTGCAAAACACCTAGAAAACTTTGAAATTTGAACCGCGCCTCACAGGCCTGGTGCCAGGTCCTTTCGGACTCTCACTGGTTGACTTTGCCCCATTCCCAGCAGGTGCTGACAGGGCTGTCACTGCAACAGCAGGGGGCTTAAGCAGACCAGCTGGCAGCTGCCAGGCAGAGCTCCTGGGAGGAGAGGGCCTGCCCATCCCCGTCCGGATGCCCACCTCCTCCCCATGCCCCCTTCAGCCGGGGAAGCATCGCCGTCTGTTTCCAGTGCACTCAGACACGTGGGCCCTCGGCCACATGTCTAATTTCAGGACTTCAAAGGAGCCCTGCAAGCCGTATTTTGATGAGTTCGGTGTACATAAAGCAAGTTGGGCACATAGGGATTTAATTTCCCTTGAAAATTGCTCAGCCTTAAAAATTAGCAGGATAAAAGTGAGAGGCAAAATGAGTGTTCTGTCCCTGTCAAGCCCTCGAGTTTGTATTTTAAAATGGGGAACATCACTAATTGAAAAGCTCTTTAACTTTATCGGCTCAGGAAAGGAAGAATGTTTCCAAGTCTTTAGTAGCTTGGAGGAGTAAGGGCTTTGTAATCAAGAGTATTTCACTAATGAGCACTCTTTCCCAGAAATAGATCTTATTAAAGTTTTTTTCTTCTTTTTTTCTCACAAATGTCCGATTGGAGGGAGGGGGGCTCCATGCAAGCCTGGATTCAGTTCCCCCCACCCCGCTGGCTTTGTCTGAAGGATGCTGCCCAAACACATGGTGGGCGGGACCTTTTCAAACAAAAGGATCCTTCTCTGCTTTGTGATGGGTTTTTGTCTGGGCTCTCAAGCCCAGGAGGCCCAGCTCATGCGCATGGAATTTTTCGGGGACCTACCCCTCACACCCACTTCTCTCCCTAGAATTCTGAGTCAGGCGGAGGATGGGGTTTAAAGCCCTGGACTTGCTCATCTGTGTGGGACAGAGAACCTGTGAGCCTTTGTTGTCTACATCTCTCCTCTGCCCTGACTGCTGCCTGCCCCAATCAGGCACCCCCTCCTCCCAGGCAGTGGGCTTTCCCGGGGCACAGCTGGTGCTGAATGTTGGCAGGCTTCCCTCTGAGAAGAAGGGGGCCTGGGCAGAGGTGCCGAGTCCTGGAAAGGCCCAGCCTCAAGTGTCCAGCTCTAACAGCAGCAGAATGAGAGTGAGAAGAACCCCTGGTCAGCGGGACAGCTCAGGCCTAGTTCCAGGCCCAGCACCGCAGCTTCCCGGCGCGACACCTCAGGCGAGGAGCTCTGTGCCCTCACCTTTAGAGTGGGCTCTAATCTCCCTCTAAGAGAACACAGGCACCGGTCTGGCCAGCACATCCCTCCCAACAATCTGGGTTAACACCCTCCACGGCTGAAACTGCTCCAGAGGGGCTGCCTGAGTGCTGGGGAGACGGCACCCTGGGCTGGCGGAAGAGGGGTCGCAGTGAGGGGCGAGGGGCTTGTGGGAAGCTGGTTAGCATGGTGGTTATAAGCACGGGCACATGGCCTGAGGCTTCAGATCCTTCCTCTGCCAGGAGCTCTCTCCAGTGAAACGGGGCAGCAGGACCCATGCCGGGGTGTCCTGAGGTGTCACCACAAGCGTGTGAAGCGCTTGTCTCCGTGTCCGGTACATGTTAAGCGCTCACAGAATGGCTGTCCCTGGTGTGAGGTCACCAAGACGCTCAGGGAGAGTTTGCTATGAGGGAACAGGAGGTTGTGAGGACAGAGCCCTGGCAGTGGTGGGGTGGTGCCCTGGACGGACCCCCCAGCTGGGAATAGAACCTGGGCATCACCGGGCAAGGTGGTGGGGTGGGCCACGCACAGAACCCTGAGCGAGGTGGGACATCAGGGCCTGGGCCAAGGACCCCAAGGTGGCAACAGTGTTAGGAGTGCAGTGCACCCAGCAAGAGCCCACAGCGTTTGTCCACTGGCTTTATGTTCTGGCCGCCCTTTTCCTTTCACAAAGGACTCGGGGACAGGCGTGGGCAGCCCCATCTTCACAGGGGTGTTAGGTGCAGTTTCTGTGAACTACGTTGCCTTACAGACACACGGAGCAGGCCCAAAAGCAGCTCTCCTGGAGGGCCGTCAGCTATCTACCAGGGCTCTCCTTGACCAACAAACAGCTCACCTGGACGAGAGAGTTGGCCGGAGAGCAGCCCCTGCCAGAGGAGGCCTCAGGAAGGAGGGCACCTGCCTCCTGCTCTTTGAGCCTGGGCACCTGCACTCACAGCCCGGGGCAGGGCGCAGACTGTGCTCTGCCCTGCTCCTCTCCTCGCTCTTCTACCTGGCTCAGTGCCTGGCGCGGTGTCAAGAGCTAAGGATGTTGGTCAAATGACTAAACAGGAGTACACCCAGCAGAGAGGCTTTGCGTCTGGAGTTCTAGGCTCCTACTCCACCCCGCAATCCTTTGACTTGGGTCCTGCTGCCCCCAGCCCTCGCCTCTCCAGCCCCCTGCCGCAGGACCAGCGTGGAGCACCTGTTTGTCACTTCCTCCAGGAAATATTCCGAATGCCTCCTGCCAGGCGCTACCCTAAAGATGTGGAAATGTTCTGTCTGTTGTTCGCTTAGAGCTGAGAGCAGGTGCTCAGTGAGGAAGGAACGACTGGAGTTTGTGGTCTGCTCGGCCTGGCCTCCAAAGGCCAGCCAGGCTGTCACCGTCAGCACTGGATCCTCCCAGCTGTCCCAGGCTCCCTCCTGGCCCTCGTTTCACCAGCGGGACCGGGGAGACACTGAGGGC